TAACTCTTATCAAGGTGACTCAGAGCAGGTGCTGAGTTCAGACATCACAGGGATGCTGATGTGAAGGGGAGGTGGGAGCCCTGGTTGAACATCAAAATCCTAGAGGTTTACATCTACCCTGACCTCTGAGACTTCTTTACCCACAATTCTTATTTTCTATTCCCAAGACTACACTGTGGAGAATCTTATCCTGATGGGCGTGACTGGCTTGGTCCTGGTGGTCCTCGGGGTGCTGCTATTTCAGGCTCAAAATGACACCAACATGACCCTCAAAGCAGCCAGAATCTGAACATATAAAGAACAACACACCATTCAGATTGGGGAAGGCTTGGAGCCCATCTGAGGATCCCTGTAGGTGCTGAAGGACAGTTGGGACCATAGTTGGGAAAACTGTCTGTTGAGAATGTCCAGGAGAGCAGACGTGGTAGATGAGAATTGGGTGCAGGAGAACATGGGCTATGTCCTTCGCCATCCACCTGGGGTGCTCTCCCTCTGTCCCTGACCTTGTTGACTTGCCTCCACTGCCCTTCTGTTCTCACCCTATGAAACATGGCTGGTTCGGATTCCCATTTGTAAACCCCTTCATGCTGGGTCACATTCATCCAAACAAAATAAGGTATCTGCATAACCTTGGAATTTTTTAAACCATAAAGAACAAAGCACGGGTACCTGGTACATAGTGAGTGAACGTCAAAATAATGCAGCTAGTGACAGTGAGGCGACACAAGAGATCAGAGGTTGTGTGATTCCATTTATACAAAATGCCCAGAAGAAGGAAACCCATAGAAACTGAAGTCAAATTGGTTTGTCTGGGGTTGATCAGGAGGGCAGATGGGAGATGTACTATTTGGTGTTTGGTTATAAAAACTTCTTGAAAGTAGATAGACATTGTCTTTGAGACATTGTGTATTTACTGCATCCTATTGAATTTCATATTTCAAAAGTTTCAATTGAATGTTTTGTGGCTGTTGTTTTAATAAAAATAAATGCAAGTGAAACATGCATGGTTCCCTTCAGCTGCCTTTACCTTGGAGGTTGCCCCACTGGTGTCTGTGGAGTTTTATGGGAGTAGGACTCCCACCAGGTCAGAGGTGCCCTAAGTGCCTTAGTGCTTAGGGACCAACCCGCTGAATGAAATATCCACCTTCACCCCTGACTTGGGCTGAGTCTAGGAACCAGGATGAGGCCCACCATCCCTGCATCCTTTTGTCTGTGCTCATCTGCCATTCAACCAAGAATACACTTCAGCTTCTGATCTATCTTGTAGACTGGGGGATACACATGCAGCTTCCACACAGCCCTTCCTATCACACATCTCTCATACGCATGCCTTCACCAGCTCAGAAAATGACACCAGATTTCCAGCCAGCGTGGTGCAGTGGTTTAGCATTGTCCTATGACCAGGAGGGCAAGATTGGATTCCAAGATTCCATGCCTGGGTTGTCTGCTCCATACCCAGTGTGGGGCTAGCAGGAGGCACCCAATCAATGATTCTCTCTCATCATTGATGCTCCTGTCTCTCCATCTCAGAAATCAATAAAATATATGTATAGTTACAAAAAAGAAAGAAAGAAAATGACAAATGTGGTCCTTCATGTCTCAGGAAATGCAGATCCTCATTACAACTCTCAGAATCCAGGTTTCACAATTTTGCCCAACAGGCAAAGAGGGAGAGGGAAAGAGACTGGCTCAAAGTAGACTCTCAATAGGTGTGTCCCCTGTCTTAAATTATAACCTGGAAATTTTCTTCCATATTTTCTTCTATCCAAAGCAAGGAGATGGAATAAACAGCATTAGACAAAGAGGGACAGTCTTGGGGACAAGAAGCTATGAGGAGGCAGAAAGGATTCCGAATTTTTGATGGAAAGCAGGAGCTCTGCTCACCAAACAAGAAAGTCCGAGGGAGGAAGTGATAGGGAGAAGCAGATGCACACACCCAGGCCTCGAGGGCAGTGCTGGTTGCCTCTGTGGGTGATTGACAGTGTTGTAACATCCCTCAGGCTGTCAAAAACCTTGACAGAGCCTAGGGCACACCATGGATTCCTGCAGGCAGCCCAGGTGGAGAGAGGAGGAGCCTTCCATTCTTCCCTCCCACCTACTCACACACTGAACCAATCCCACCATTCTGGCTTCAGGTTCTTCTTTTTGTGACCTAGTTCTCCCCACAGACAAGCTTGTGTGAAGGCCCAAGACAGCTGGTTGGTGTGACTGCATCGGCCTCCTTCTGGCCTTCTCCAGACCCTCACTGTGGGCTCAGGTGTTTCATTCTCATGGCCCCAAATGTTCCTGTCACCCACCATCCCTACATAAAGCCTGTCCGCGGTTCCCCCCTGACTCCAGCCTCATCCAGGATCTCCACCAGGCAGTCCATGCTGCTGCTGATCAGGCTGAGCTACACTCTCCAGTCCCAGTGAGGCCAACTCATCTTCCAACTAAACTCATCCCAGTGAACCTCCTCCCCTCCCTGCCCACACAACCTGTGGCACTACCAGCTGAGTGGTAGGATCACAACGTGACCCCTCATGGGGCCCCTGAGTCCATCTGAACAGAACTGCCTCCTCTCCAACCTCATAGACCTGAAACAACATACATTAACTCCAACACGTATTGCCTACATTTCAGAAATAAAGCAACAGTCTTCCCAATGATCAATGTGTGAATCCAAATCAAAGTGAATATTTTAGATTAAATTATAATGAAACTATTACATTAAAAAAATTAAAAGCTATGTGTGCTTGTGAGAGTGTGTGTATGTATGTGTGAGTGTATGTATGAATGTGCATGTGTGTGTGTGTAAGTGTGTGTGTGTTCATGGGCAGCTATACCCATCTGTCTGAGGGAAACAGGGGTGAGAGCTGAAATGGGAGGGTCACACCTGGATGATCATGAGCAACCTTGAGCTCAGAGGAAGAGTCTGGACTTACCATGAAGACAGTGAGGACCATGGAAGGGATTTAGGCATGAACAGCTTCTGATAGGGAGGGGCAAGGGCTGATGTGGAGGGTAAACTGGAGAAGGGAGTGAGGGTGTGGAGCTTAGAGCTCAGGAAGGAGGTGGACGTGATGGCTGCATTGGGGGGGGGTGAAGTGACCTCCCTTCCTTGGTGACTTGGGCACCAAGGGGCCCTCAGGACAGTGAGCCCAGGGGTGGGGAGGTAGGAGCCTGGGGCTGTGCAAGATACATCTGCTCCCCCAAAAAGGTCAGCGCCTCCTCTGGGCCCTGCAGGTTCTACATCTCACACAGGTTCCCCCTGACTCTCTGACTCTGTGAGCAGCTGGATCTCTCCATGTCCTGGGGGCCAATCATCTGAGTCATTGCTGCCCTTCAGAGCACCTTTGAGGCCGGGTGTCACTTTCCCCTTCAAGCTCTGGAGACTCTTCAGGATTCAGACAAGAACAACATTCCTGGAAATCCTGTTCTGAGGCAGTGACATACACAGGTACATTCAGTTATCAGGTGTGGCGCTACCAGCTGAGTGGTGGGAGGACACTTGAGCCAGCCACTTCCTCCCTTGACTTCTCAGCAATACCAACAACTTCCCCACAAAGATGGTGAGAATTCTTCTCAACTGAGAGATGAAGGAAACGAAACCAGCCATTCAGTGCTGATGGAGATTATAGAAGTTTGAGAGATTGAAAAACAGAGACACCTCATCCAAAGGAGCAGAAGGAAGACTCCAGGTCAGACCTCGCGTGTGGAGTCACCTGGATAGTTCAGTGAGGAGGTCAGGGTCTTTCCATCACGTGGTGCTGGGCCAGTGGACGAGTCTCTGGGACATGGTGAACATCTTACCTGCCTCACAGCATTTACAATAAGCAATGCCAGATTGGTGACAGATCAAATCATGAAAAATAAACAATTTGGTATTTCTTTTACCAAAACTATCTTATTGACTTGTGGGAGAGACTTTTTTACTTCAAGTGGACAGCATAAGATGAACTTAGGTGGAAATAGACACAGTGGAATCACTAACATGAAGAACTTCTGTTCCCCATCGACGCTAGGGAGATAGGGAAGAGGTCATTGTGATGCCAAAATGAGATCACGGACTGGCACTCAGATCACTTAAGAAATATTACAGATATGTAATGTGGCAGCAGAGAAAAGCAAGCAAACACCTTTACCAAGCAACTGATACTGACATGCCAATGTGCAGTGACAGTATGTACAGGTGATGAGCTGGCCTTGGCTGGTGTTCTCAGTGGTTAGAGCATCAGCCTCACCATGTAAGGGTCACAGGTTTGCTTCCTGGTCAAGGGCTTGTGCCTTGGTTGCAGGTTTGCTCCTCAACCCTCATGTAGGATGCAACCAATTAATGCCTCTCAGACATCGATGTTTCTATTTTCTCTGTCTCTCTTCCTTTCTCTATATCTTTCAATCTCTTTCAGATTCAATGGAAGTAAAATATCCTGGGGTGAGGATTAAAAAAAAAATTTGAAAAGTGTTGTGCTATATAAACCATTGAAGAAATAAATGTACATCAAAGCACAGGGTAGTACCAATACCTCCACTGAATCATGAGCATTGAAAAGGCAGTAAACGTGAAGGCTTGGCAGGGATGGTAACCTACCAGGACCCTTGAACCAGGGAAAGGGGTGGGGGGGAATGCTGAGGCCACTGGGATACAGTTCAGCAGAGTCTTTCATAAATGAGCTCCCTCAAGAGCTGTGGCCCAGTGTCCCATTGGGCTGTTCAGAGCCATACACTCAGGGCCTGAGTCAGGACCAGAATGTGAGTCCTGTCCTCTCTGAGCAGGAGTCAGACCAGCAGACACAGGAGACCTGAGGAACAGGTGAAACCTGAGAAGCTGTCTCCCCCAGAGCCCTCCTCCTGGAGAGATGCAGAGCCAGGCCCAGAGCAGTGCCCTGCCTGGCTGTGGATCTCCAGCTGTGAAAACCCAGAATGCCTCAGTAGCACTTGACCCACCACATCCTGTGTTTGTCTGTCCATCAGGCCCAGACCTCCTCCATCTGCAGAGCAGGGACCTCAAAGCAGACGCCATGGTGTCCATCCTCTCTGCTCTTCTCTGCCTCGGTCAGTTGTGGACATGGGGAGGAGGAGTAGGAAAGGTGGCTGCCTGTCTTATTCCCCAGGCTCAGGCAGCTCCAGTGGATGGGGCCTGATGGGAAGGGAATCAGCTCAGACGTCCAGGTGCAAATCTCTCACAGGGACTCTCTTCCAGGGCTGAGTCTGCACCAGAGGACCAGTGTACAGGCAGGTGAGTCCTCCCCAGGCTCCATGTCCCTCCTCTTCCTTCATCCCTGGGGCTCAGGAGGGAGTACAGAGGTGCTGGGGTGAGGTGGTAAAATTAGAGGGTCTTGGGCTGAGCTGGGGGATGAGGGGGAGAGGGAAGGGATTTGTAAAGCAGCCTCTGGCTTCCTTTTAGGGCCACTCCCCAAACCCACCCTCTGGGCTGAGCCAGACTCTGTGATACCCAGGGGGCAGCCCGTGACCCTCTGGTGTCAGGGTTCTCCAGGGGCTAAGGAGTACCGTCTGAATAAAGGGACAATCATAGCACTTCGATACAAAAAGAAGCCACTGCAACCCGGGAACAAGGCCAAGTTCTCCATCACATACATGACAGAGCATGATGCAGGGATATATCACTGTTACTATTGCAACCCCACTGGCTGGTCAGAACGCAGTGACCCCCTGGAGCTGGTGGTGACAGGTAAGAGGACACTCAGGGGTCCCAGCCTCAGGCTCTGCCCTCAGGAAGGGGATCTGCTCTCAGGGTGTCTCCCTATCACAGCCCAGCCCTGGGGGACATGAGGGAGGTGTGAGCCGATTTAACACGCTGCCTCCTCTTCTCCCAGGATCCTTCAGCAAACCCAGCCTCTCAGCACTGCCCAGCCCTCTCGTGACCTCAGGAAGGAATGTGACCCTCCAGTGTCGCTCAGGACAGGGGTTTGGAAGGTTCCTTCTGACTAAGGAAAAAGAGCACAGACTCTCCTGGGCTCTAGACTCACAGCAGCTGCCTAGTGGGCAGTTCCTGGCCCTGTTCCCTGTGGGCCCTGTGATCCCCAGCCACAGGTGGATGTTCAGATGCTATAACTGTTACAGGGACATGCCCTATGTGTGCTCACATCCCAGCGATGCCCTGGAGCTGCTGGTCCCAGGTGAGTCCCATTCTTGCGTCATTCAAGGACTGAGTTATCAACCAGGTTACTGACTTTTTGCTGTGAGGGGAGCCCAGGGGCCCCTAGGCTAGAGACACAGAGAGAGACAGTGAGACCAGGAGGCCAGGACATGAGAAGGGGTTTATGGGAGGAGTAGCACCTGTCATTCATGTCTGGCCTCTCCAGGTGAGTTTGGGAAGCCCTCCCTCCTGACCCAGCTGGGCCCCATCGTGGCCTATGGACAGAACCTGACCCTCCAGTGTCACTCTGATGCCAGCTATGATAGATTTGCTCTGCACAAAGAGGTGAGACGGGACCTCCTCCAGAGCCCTGTTCTGCAGCCCCAGGTTTGGCTCTCTCAGACCCACTTCCACCTGGGCACTGTGAGCAGCTCCCACGGGGGCCAGTACAGATGCTACGGTGGATACAAGCTCTCCTCTGAGTGGTCGGCCCCCAGTGACCCCCTGGACATCCTGGTGGCAGGTGAGGAGCCAGTGGGCGCAATCAGGGACCCAGACTCTGCACAGGCCCTGCTGGGGGTCTCAGGTGGTCAGGCCAGAATGAAAGTGCGGGTCGCATGGAGGGAGACAGAGACAGAGGGGGAAGGAGGGTCAGAGGAGAGAGGGGAAGACACAGAAAAACAGAGACAGATGGAAAGGGGGTTCTCAGAAAGAGGCCTAGTGACTCTCAGGCCAAAACAAGATGGACAGGCAGCCCTCACTCTCCCTTCCTCTCTTTGTCTAGGACACCTGTCTGACAGACCCTCCCTCTCAGTGCAGCCAGGCCCCAGTGTGGCCTCAGGAGAGAATGTGACCCTGCTGTGTCAGTCACAGAGCCCGAGGGACACTTTCCTTCTGTCTAAGGAGGGGTCCGCTGATCCCCCCCTGCGTCTGAGATCAGAGCACCAAGCTCAGCAGTTCCAGGCAGAGTTCTCCATGAGTCAAGTGACCTCAGCCCACGGGGGCACCTACAGGTGCTACAGCTCACGCAGCTTCTTCCCCTACCTGCTGTCAGTCTCCAGTGAGCCCCTAGAGCTCCTGGTCTCAGGTGAGGGCTCCTGATCCTGTCTGCTGAGCTGTTAGTTCAGGGTCCTGTCTCCAGAAGGAATATGGGCTGAAAGCAGGGTGAGGGTCTCTCGGGATGATCACCCCCAGGAGATCCTTTTCTTAGAGGCCTTCAACCCCGTTCATCCCCTTTCCCCTCACCTGGATACTGAAGCAGTGGGAGGTCTCAGAGGCCACCCCACAGATGTAAGAGGGTGTCTGTCCAGGGTGAGCCCAAGCCACTCACTCTCTTCCTGTGCTCACTTGCAGAACCCTCTGGAGGCCCCAGCCCCCCACCCACAGGGCCCACCTCCACAGCTGGTGAGTCCTGGGGAGCTCTGCTCAAAGAGAGCACAGCTCATCCAGCAAGTCCTGAGAGTCTGTCAGGGGATCGAGTGACCCAGGTCCTCAAGGACGGGCGGGTGTCATGGGAGGGCTGTGAGTCCCAGGGTCTGAGGCAGGTGACAGGTGGTCATGGCAAAAGGAGATGTGGGGGTGCAGGCTGGGGAGGAGCTGGGCTCATGTGGGGAGATGACAGCCACACCCCTACTGTCCCATCCTCATCCCAGGAGGCTATGAGGATCGATCTCTCTCATCCACGGTGTGTGAGGGGCTCTGTGGGAAGGTGGTGGGTGCCTCCATGGGAGACAGTGGCTGAGTCATTCAGGGGGTCAAGCCCCTCTAATTTGCTGACTTGGGCCCGCCCTTCCTGTCTGGGCGTCAGTGTCTCCAGGTGTGAAATAAGAGAATCCTTGTCCAGAGCTTAGATTTCCTGTCGGCTCAGCTGACAATTTAAAGGATGTCCATGTGCCTTCTCAGGTGACCCTCTACACCCACCCTCAGTTCAGGCTCAGCTCAGAGGAGGGAACAGGGAGGATCAGCTCTGAGTCATCTCTTGGCTTTGCTGCTCCTGCTGTAAGACTGGACAGTTTCCTGTCTGCTCAGCCCTGGTCCCATCCTGCTCACAGGCTGCTGGGAGATGAGCTGACATAAGGGCCTCACAAAGCTCAGGAAGGCAGAGCCCCCAGGCCAGCCTCACCTTCCTAAGGGGGCATCAGGGCCTGCAGGATGGAGAGGTATCCTGGAGAGACTCAGAGCCCACCCTCACCCGGACAATCCTGTCCCTGCTGTGCAGAGGGCAGGTAATGATGAAGGACCCTTAGCTCCAGATGAGATGTGGACAGGCCCAGCCCAGAGCATGAAGCTGGTGTCCCCCTGGGGGGGGGCAGCTTGAGGCCAGCACAGGGAACCCCGGGTCCTCATACCAGGAGTCTCATTCCAGTCCCAGTCCTGCCCCATCCAGGCTGGTGACCAGGGGCACATGGTTAACCTCTCTGAGCCTCAATGAAGTGGGTGGTGGTGTCAGCAATTCCTGGTGAATGACTGTGTGAGGTGAGAGGAGATAAATGACAGACCCTAGTATGTGCCTCCCATACAATATGTGATCATTAAAGGGAATCATTGACTCACTAATGTCCTAGGTCCCAAATGGTACTGGATAGGGGTCTCAGTGGCCTTGGTTCTGCTGCTCTCCCTCTTCCTCTTCCTCCAACTCTGGTGTCAAAACAAAGGCAGAACCTCAGGTGAGTAGGGAACGGGGTGACCTGGGTCACACAGTGGGGTTCACAGAGCACCTGCACAGGAAAACTAAATAGATGGAGCAGGTCAGCTGAGAAAAAGATTTCTCCAGAATCTCAAATCAGGAAACCTAGGAAGAATACCCTTTTCATCAGCACAAATGCACAGATGTAAGGTCATCTTTCATCCTTTTCAGTCTCATGAATAAGCAACATTCTCACAAGTGCTTTTTCCCAATCTATTGATAAGACCATGTGATTTTTATCCTTCATTGTGTTGAAGTGGTGTGTCACATTTATTGATTTGGGAATATTGAACCATTCTTGCAGCTCCAGAAAAAGTCCTTCTTGGTCATGGTGGATGATTTTTTATATTTACTGCTGGACCTGGCAAAATGAGGATAAGTGACAGGAAGATTTCAACAGTGGAATTTAGGGGAAAAGAACCCATTGCATTGAATCTTTAGATCCATAGATAACTAGATGATAAAGATGTGGCGTGCATGCACTATGGAATATGCATCAGGCATAAAGAGGATGAAATGCTGCCATTTGGGACCACATGGATGGACCTAGACAGTATTATGCTGAGTGAAATGATTCAGGAGATGCTGTTCTGTCACATTGTCTCTCTCCAGCAGAACAGGCTGGTTCAAATCTGAATGCCCATGTGAACTGCTCAACATCAAGACTCAGGCAGGTAAGGACCACCTCTCCTTCTTCTCTATCAGGGGCAGTTTTGGACACAAAGGACAGACAAGCAGAAGAGGACAGACAGATGGATAGTCAGGTGGGTCCCATCCTCCATAGGCCGTGAGACTTCTCAGAACCCAACCACTTTTCATCCCTCTCTCTCCCCTTGCTCCAGGTTGCTGCACCTGATGCCCCCCAGGATGTGACCTATGCCCAGCTGAACCTCTTGGCCGTTAGAAGGCAGACAAGTGCATCCCCACCCTCCCCGTCAGAGGAGCCCCCAGAAGAGTCCTGTTTGTACGCTGCTCTAGCCATCCACTAGCTCAGGAGAGACTCAGACCCAGACACTCTAGGTTGGGGGCATGCAGGGACCCCAGAGGGCAGGAAAGCTGCCCCCCCCCCTGGGCATTCAGCTAGTGCCTCATCCACCGTGGACACCAGAGGTGCCCCTGGGACTTTCTGAGAATCACCTCATTCTACAGTGAATATCTCTACATTTGGAAATGTAGAGTTAAGCCAATATCTGTACATTTGGAAATCAATTTTGGAAAACAGACTTCTCAATAACCAAAGTGTGAACAAAAACAAGTGAAAGTTTTAACTGAAATGGTAATGTAAATGTGACACATCAAACCCATGAAATAATAAAATTAAGAACCTTAATAAATCAATGACTGAATCTATCATGTCAAGAATTTAGGGGGAAAAACAAACATTGCATTGAATCCTTAGATCCATAGACAACTAGATGATAAAGATGTGGCATGTATGCACAATGGAATATAGATCAGGCACAAAGAGAATGAAATCTTGCCATTTGTGACAACATGGATGGACCTAGAGGGTATTATGCTGAGTGAAAGGATTCAGACAAGGAAAGATGTCACTTATCTCTGGGATTTTTCACATCCTTAAAGCAAAGGGAACAAAAGCAGACCCATAGAAATCAACAACAAACTGATGGTTTCCAGAAAGGAGGGAAGGAAGGATGGGTGAGAAGGGGAAGGGCAGGTAGTCAATACTAAATATCCTACCCATGCTGTACACTGGAAACTAATATGATATTGTATGTCAACTATGCTTTAATAAAAATGGTCAATTAAAAATAATTAAACAATAGAAAAAAATTTTAAATGAAGGTGTAAGGAGGAAATTGTAGGGAGCGGCTCTAGAGTTAAACCTTGGATTGACCTGTGTCAGAACCACAAACAGGTCCTAGCTTAGAGGGCAGAGCCCTCTTAGAATAATTATGGCTGCTCCCTAGATCCTTCCTGGGTAGCTAATGGGCTGTGGGAGGTGCAGCAGGTTCTGCCCAAACAAGTGAAACTCACAAGAACTTGGTAACTATGTTTACCACTACCTTGTTTCCCTCTTACTACAAAATAAAACCTCAGCTTGTTGGCTGGATCCTTCTCTGTGGCCTAATCCAGGCACAGGAGGTCCACAGAGCCACAGCTATATTCTCTTTCTTTGTTTTATCTTTAATTCCTCACTGACCCTCCTCAGACTCACAGAACTGTTGGAGGTGCTGGCATGGCACAGGAAAGGATACATTTTGACACAGCAAAGGAAACCATCAACAGAATGAAAAGACAGCCCACTGAATGGGAAACTATTTTTCCAATACATGTAATAAGGGCTTATTGTCCAAAATTTATAAGGATACAAAGGATATAAGCTCAACACCAAAAAAAACACACACAAACAATTCAGTAAAAAATTGGGCAAAGGACCTAAATAGACACCTCTCCAAGAAGGACACACCCATGGCCAGTAGACATATGGACAGATACTCAATATCACTAATCATCAGAGAGAGGCAAATGGAAACCACACACCTTTCAGAATAGCTTATCATTAATAAATCCACAGAAATCTATGCCCCTTTGTGATCACAGCAGCATTATTTACAAAAGCCAAGATCTGGAAACAGCCCAAGGGCCCACCAGCAGAGGAAAGCTGTGGTCCATTCACACAGTGGAATAATATGCAGCTGTAAAATAAAGGAGAAACTCATACCTTTGGCCACAGCATGGATGGTCCCAGAGAGAATTATGTCAAGTGAAATAAGCCAGTCAGAGAAAGCCAAGTTCCCTATGATTTCACTCATATTTGGAATCTAATAAACAAAATAAAACATAGTGGAGAGAGACTAGGGTATACAGAGAACAGACTGTCAGCTGTCAGAGGAAAGGGGTTTGGGGAGAAGGGCGAATGGGTTAAGCAGAGAAATAAAAGAAAGTCTCATGAACACAGACAATACTGTGGTGACTGCCAGAGGAAAGAGAGGGGCTTGGGGGAAGTAAAAAACTGGGTAAATAGACTAGACTTAGGGTGATAAACTCACAATACCATATAGAGATGACCTGGTGTAGAATCATATACCTGAAACCTGTATAATTTTATGAAGTGATATCACCCCAGTAAATAAATATTTCATTAAAAAAAACAAATACATGCCGAGACTGGTTTGGCTCAATGGATAGAGCGTTGGCTTGGGGACTGAAGAGTCCCAGGTTTGATTCTGGTCGAGGGCATGTACCTTGGTTGTAGGCATATCCCCAGTAGGGGGTGTGCAAGAGGCAGCTGATCGATGACTCTCTCATCGATGTTTCTAACTCTCTATTTCTCTCCCTTCCTCTCTGTACAAAATTTAAAAAAAAAATAAATAAATAAATAAAAATAAAAATTAAAAAATTAAAAAAAAATATGTGTAGGCAATCTGGAAAGTCAAACCCTCAGCACCTGCTATTTTTAGATTGAGAAGCAGGTTGTTGCCTTCCTGTGAGGCTAACACCTTGTGAACAGTGTGTATGTGTGGTGTGAGGGCCCTGCCCCCCACATCCTGTGACCTTCTCTGCTGGGCTCAGCCCCTACCTCCCCTTCTACAGAAGCACCCTGGTCCCCAAGTCCTCAGCCTCAAGAAATGCAGGTCCACAGGAGCTGAATATGGACTTAGTGTTTGTGAATTTCTGCTCCTCGCCTGGTTCAAAGGGGCAACACAAAAAGTGTCACTCTCCTGGGAATTTTGTGCCTTTGTGACTGACATTGAAGTCTTGTATTCATTTCGGGTGTACTCTTGTGTATGGTGTAAGTGGGTGGTAGATTTTCTCCTCCTCCTCCTCCTCCTCCTCCTCCTCCTCCTCCTCCTCCTCCTCCTGTTTCCCCTCTGCATCCCCCTCCACCTCCACTTTTCCTCTCCCTCTCCCTCTCCCTCTTCCTCTCCCTCTCTCTCTCCCTCTCCTTCTCCCTTTTTCTTTACCTTTCCCTCTCCTTCTCCTTCTCCTTCTCCTTCTCCTTCTCCTTCTCCTTCTCCTTCTCCTTCTCCTTCTCCTTCTCCTTCTCCTTCTCCTTCTCCTTCTCCTTCTCCTCCTTCTCCTTCTCCTTCTCCCTCTCCTTCTCCTTCTTGTTCTTTTTGCATGTGCCTGTCCAATTTTCCCAGCACCATTTTTGCAGAGCCTGTCCTCACTCCGCTGTATATTCACAAAGTCACTAATCATCAGAGAAACGCAGGTGCTGGATGTGGAGAAGAGGGAGCTCTCGTGCACCGCTGCTGGGAATGCAGCCGGATGCAGCCAGTGTGGAAAACTGAAGGGAGGTTCCTCAAGAAAACAAACAAACAAAAAAACAAACATGAAACTACCGTTTGACCCAGTGATTCCACTTCTGGGGATAGAATCAAAGAAACCTGCTCATCCCGACCGCCCACTGCACCTGCCACCGTGCGGTAGTGCTACCACGGAGGCAGGTGAGGCTCACACCCCCACAGCTGTGCTCGCCAGCAGTGAGCCCAGTGTCTGGCTCACGTAGGTCAGCTGAATGGTGCTCCCACGGTGGGAGTGCACTGACAACCAGGGCCAGATCCTGCATTTAGCATCTACCCCTTGGGGGTCAGTGTTTGTCATAGTGACCGGTCAACTGGTTGTTTGGTTACTTAGGCTTTTATATAGATAGATAGCTTCCTCTTCAAGATAATACTGTATCTTTTGTATTCTTATTGACATGATTACAGATGACCTTCATCTCTGCCTATATGCCTCCCTCCACCCAGCACACACATGACCATAGGCCTACTGCACACTAATATCTATGTCGTTGAGCTATGCATATAAGCAGGCAAGTCCTTTAGTTAATCTTTTTCTGTCCCTTCCCTTCTCTGAGTTTTGTCCATTTCTTCCATGCAGCATGCCTCTGGACTTATTTTTTTGATTGAGTTACTTTGCTCATTAGATTCCACATATAAGTAGGATCATGGGTTATTTGTCTTTCTCTAATGGGCTTATTTCACTTAGTGTAATAATTTCCAGGTCCCTCCATAATGTTTCAAATAGTAAGATTTCCTCCCCCCCCCAGCTGTGTAGTATTCCCTTGTGTGAATGTACCACAGCTGTTTTACCCACTCATCACTTGATGGGCACTAGGACTGTTCCCAGGCCTTAGCTATTGGAAATACTGCTGCTATGAACACAGGGGAGCATACGCTCTTTCAGACTGGTGTTTCGGGTTCTGGGGATGTGTTCCCACAATTGGGGGCTGCTGGGTCCATGGGCAGTTCCATTTTTGAGCTCCATGTGAACAACTGAGGAATAATGACTGACACCTCTGCTATAAAAACGGCCAGTGGGAGTTGAGACTGCTTCCTGATGGACACACAGCACCAACCTGACACTGAAAAGTCCACTCAAAGTTGTCGTCACAGAATCCAAAGGCCACACAGAATGTGTAGAGTCTCCGGGAACCAAGGATAAGATTCCTGCGGTGCCTGGAGGGATCAGGCACCTGTCCCCGGAGAGCCTTCTCTCCTCCTGAGCCCTTAGTTTGGGGAAACTCAGAGCCAGGCCCAGGGCGGAAGAGCCCGCAGGCAGTGGGTGCACAGCTCATGGACACAGAAGGGCTGCAGCAGCTTCTGACCCACCACATCCTGTGCGTCTGTTTTTCTGGCCCTGAGTTTCCTCCATTTGCAGAGCGGGGGCCTCCAGAAAAGACACCATGATGTCTCTCCTCTCCACTCTTCTCTGCCTCGGTCAGTTGTGGACACTGGGAGGGGCAGCAGGAGGAGGGTGGCACCCCCTTGTTCATGAAGAACCTTAGACTCAGGCAGCTCGAGTGGACGGGGTCTAATGGGAGGGGAATCAGCTGAGATGTCCGAGTGCAAATCTCTCACAAGTCTCTCTTCCAGAGCTGTGTCTGGGCAAGATCATCCTCGTGCAGGCAGGTGAGTCCTCCCCAGGCTCCATGTCCCTCCTCTTCCTTCACAGCTGGGGCTCAGGAGGGGAGCACAGAGGTCCTGGGCTGAGCTAGGGATGAGGGTGGGAAAGGTTTTTGTAATGCGGCCGCTAGTTTCCTCCCAGGGATCATCCCCAATTCCATCCTCTGGGGTGAGCTAGGCCCTGTGATCCCTTACGGGAGCCTGTGATCCTCTGGAGGGGGGGAACTCTGAAGACCCAGAGTTGGACCTTTCCAAGAATGGAAATGTGTGCTTGGGAACACACAGACTCAAAGGAAGTCCACAGCCAAGGGCAAAGTCTCCATCACACACATGACAGGTCATGATGCAGGGAGATATTCTTGTTACTATCACAGCCACACTGGCTGGTCAGAGCACAGTGACCCCCTGGAGCTGGTGGTGACAGGTAAGAGGACACTCAGGGGTCCCAGCCTCAGGCTCTGCCCTCAGGAAGGGGGTCTGCTCTCAGGGAGTCTCTCTCTACAGCCCAGCCCTGGGGGACATGAGGGAAGTGTGAGCCCATTTAACATGCTGCCTCCACCTTTCCTAGGATCCTACAGCAAACCCAGCCTCTCAGCCCTGCCCAGCCCTGTCGTGCCCTCAGGAGGGAAGGCGACCCTCCAGTGTGGCTCAGGGCAGGGATTTGACTGGATCCATCTGAGTAAGGAAGCAGATCACAGGTTCTCCAGGACCAAGGACTCACAGCCACAGCCCAGTGGGTGGTCACAGGCCCTGTTTCCTGTGGGTCCTGTGACCCCCAGCCACAGGTGGAGGTTCAGCTGCTATGGCTGCTACAAGAACAGATTCCAGGTGTGCTCACAAGCCAGCGATGCCCTGGAGCTGCTGGTCACAGGTGAGTAAGTCCCATTCTACTTTCATCCATGGATTGAGGCACCAGACACATTGGAATCTTCTCTGGGAAGGAAACTCCATGTGAGAGGGTGAGGGGAGCATAGGAGCTCCTGGGCCAGAGACACAGAGAGAGATGGTGAGACCTGGGGGCCAGGACAGGAGAAGGGGATTATGGGAGGAGCAGCCAAGGTCATACATGTCTGGTCTCCCCAGGGGAGTCTGGGAAGCCTTCCCTCCTGAGCCAGCAGGGGCCCATCGTGGCCTATGGACAAAGCCTGAACCTCCAGTGTCGCTCTGATGTCGGCTATGACAGATTCGCTCTGCACAAGGAGCGGGGACGGGACCTCCCCCAGAGTCTTGTCCTGCAGCCCCAGGCTGGGCTCTCTCAGACCTTTTTCCCCCTGGGCACTGTGAGCAGCTCCCATGGGGGCCGGTACAGATGCTACGGTGGATACAACCTCTCCTCTGAGTGGTCAGCCCCCAGCGACCCCCTGGACATCCTGGTGGCAGGTGAGGAGCCTGTGGGTTCAGTCAGGGACCCAGACTCTGCACAGGCCCTGCTGGGAGTCTCTGGTGGGGTGAGGCCAGAATAAAAGAGCAGGCCCCAGGGAGGGGAGAGACAGAGAGAGGCAGGGTGTGGGATGTTAGAGGGGGAGACTCGGAGGAACAGAGACAGAAAGGAGGGTCCTCAGAGAGAGGCCTGGTGACTCTCAGGCCAGAACAAGGTGGACAGGCAGCCCTCACTCTTCCTACTTCTCTCTCTCTAGGATGGCTGCATGATAGACCCTTCCTCTCAGTGCAACCAGGCCCCAGGGTGGCCTCAGGAGAGAACGTGACCCTGCTGTGTCAGACACAGAGACCAAGAGACACTTTCCTTCTGTCCAAGGAGGGGGTAGCTGATCCCCCACTGCGTCTGAGATCAGAGCACCGAGCTCAGCAGTACCAGGCAGAGTTCTCCATGAGTCCTGTGACCTCAGCCAACGGGGGCACCTACAGGTGCTACAGCTCACACAGCTCCTCCCCCTACCTGTTGTCTCACCCCAGTGAACCTCTGGAGCTGCTGGTCTCAGGTGAGGGCCCCTGACCCTGTCTGCTTAGCTGTCAGCTCAGGGATCCATCCCTAGAAGGATTATGGGCTAAAACGGATTGAGGGGCTCTCAATCAGATCTCAGATGTGATCTGTCCCTTAGAGCCACCTACCTCTGTCCATAGCCTTCTCCTCACCTGGATCCAGAAGGGGTCATCTGGGCAGTGGGAGGGACTCAGGGGCCACAGCACAGATGTAGGAGGAGTCTGAGTGCAGTTACCACTCCAGGGTCAGCACCAGCTCCTCGCCCTGTTCCTGTCCTTCCCAGGATCCTGTGGGACCCCAGCCCCCCACCCACAGGGCCCATGTCCACAAATCGTGCGTCACTGAGAGCTGGGCTCCTAGGGAGCATGGATCACCCAGGAAGTCCTGAGAGTCTGTGAGGGCATGGAATCTCTCCAGATACTCAAGGATGACTTGTGTGTGGGATGGGGAGCTGTGAGTTATGGAGTAATACCAGGAACCACCAGGCTCCTGAGGCTGTGAGGCTGCCAGGTGACTGCGAATGCAGGGGGGAGGGGAGGGGAGTCAGGAACTTCACAGGGGCCGAACCTGTGTGGCTGAGTCCCTGTCCCAATGGAGGCTCCCACCACCTCCTTCACTTACCCATCTGGGTGCCTGACTCCATGGTGGGTCCTGTGGATTAAGAATGTGGGGTGAGAGGAGGAGCTGGATTCTCCCCAGCTGAGCACACTTGCCCCTCCCAAGGAAGGGCCACAATGTCTCCCCTGCCCGGACCACTCGCCTTCCCAGCAGAGCCTCCATTGGAACAGGGGCTCATTCACACAGGGTTTCATGCCCCTGTGGAGTTCCTGACTTAGACCTGTCCTTCACCTGCCTGGGCCTTAATGTCTCCAACCTTAAGAATCCTTGTCCAGAGCTCGGACTTCCTGTCGGTCCTGGCCCTGACCTCCTGGGAGACAGGCCTTACAAGGGACACCCCAGGATGGGATGTTACGGGCCTGTACCCTGTGTCTCAGTGATGGTGACACTCTATAGGGAGGGACAGGTTGAACCAGGGTCTGGGCATTCAGTCCTCGCCCTCAGCTCAGGCTCAGCTGAAAGGAGGAAACAGGGTCAATTAGCCCTGTTTCAGCTCCTGGCTCTGCTGCTTCTGCTGTGGGGCTGGGCAGTTGCTTCCCTCCTCTGAGTGTTGGGATCCTGTCTGCTCATCCCTGGTCCCATCCTGCTCAAAGGCTGCTGGGAGATAAGGTGGCATAAGGGCTCCACAGCTCAGGAAGACAGAGACCCATTCCAGCCCAATCTTCCCAAGGGGGCATCAGGGCCTTTGTGGGTAGGTATGGATGAGGGAGAGACTCGGAATCCACCCCTCACCCAGCCCCTCCTTGGCCCTGCTGTGCTGGGCTCAGGTAATGAGGAATGATTCTCAGCTCCATCTGCAGAGGAGGAGTCAAGAACACGAAGCTTGTTTTCCCCTGGGAGGGGGGAGGCAGTATGAGGCCAGAACAGGAAACCTACAGTCCCGGGTTCCAGTCCCAGCCCTGCCCCCACCAAAGGTGGGTGATCTGGGGCACTTGATTGACCTCTCTGAACCTCAGTGAAGGGGGAGATGATTTGAGCAATTCCTGATGCATGACTGCTATGAGATGAGAGGAGATCAGTGACAGACCCCAGCACGTGCCTCACACACAGTAGGTGCTCATTCAATGGCAACACTGGCTCAATCATGATGTCACTCATATCCAAGGTCCCAAATGGAACATCCTGATTGGGGTCTCGGTGACCCTGGTCCTGCTGCTCTCCGTCCTTCTTTTCTACCTCCGACACCGGTGTCAAAGCAAAGGCAGGACCTCAGGTGAGTAGGGAACAGGGTGACCTGGGTCACACAATGGGGTGCTCAGAGCAACTGCCACAGGAAACCAAATGGGTGGAGAAGGTCAGCTGAGAAAAGACTTCTCCAGAATCTGAAATCAGGAAATCTAAAAAGAAAACAGAGACAGCACAGATATTCAGTCTCATGAAATCTGCCCACAAGTGAGTGTTAAGGTTTCCTTCTTTCCTGTGGAACCACAGGGGGAGGGGCTCTTAACCTCCCAGAGCTGAGAGGGACCCTCTGGACTAGCCCAGAGAGGGGCTTATGTCCACTTCCTGCAGGGACCACACACCCAGAGACCAAGGACAGAGGCCTGTAGATCATGTAATTACTGCCTCAAAGACCTGAAAAGTCCACCATTCATGTCCCATCTCTGCCCCTAACACTCCTGTCTTCTCCTCCAGCTGCAGCCCAGATTTGGATGCTCTTTGAGAGGAAGAGACAGCTGCCCTGGCTGAGGGGAGACAAGAATTGAGGATAAATTTTGGGAGGAATAGAATGGAAGGGTGGGGTTCATGGTGAGACCACACTGCCTGACCTGATGTCTCACCTCACCCTGGGTTAATGGCCCATCTGGGAAAGGCAGAACCTGAAGCCCTGAGAACTTGGGGGCCTTTCAGGAGAAACCCCCCTGTTCTGCCCCAGCAGATGCTGCCATGAAGGACCCACAGCCTAGGGAGAGCGTGGAGCTGTACCATCAGGTGAGATCCCTGCTCCTGTATAGGCCAGCAGGACATTCCTATTAACAAGTTTAATCCAGTGGACCCTTCCTTGTCCCACCTCACCTGGTTCTCAGCAGTGTTTACACTGACCTCTCCTTCTGGGCCCCCAGGTGGTCCTGCTGTGACTCACTTCTCCTGGGTTCCTTGTGAACCCATAGCTTATCCTACGGTCCCCCTTTGCTAGCCTCTCGTCCTCTGTCTGACTTTGTGTAGCCCCAGGCCTCAGGAAGTGGCAGGAGTGAGTGACTTACCCACAGATCCCCAGGACCCCTTCATTCATTCACCCAGCAGATGTGACAGGGGCTCACTGTTTACCGGCTCTATTTAGGGCCACGGAGTGGCCCTGAACCCCACTGTCTCCACATGCATCCAGCTAACCTCTGGGCGAGGGAGACAATATGCAAAGGAGGAGATAATGTCCCAGAGAGCAAAGTGCTGTGAAGGAACATAAAGCAGGAGTTGGGGATAGAATACATGGTGGGGGGACAGGTAAAGAGGGGGTGCAGAGGTCCTGAGGCAGGGCCTGCTTCTTCAGGAGGAGGGCCATGAGGCTGGAGCCCAGTGAGTGACAGAATGCTTTAGGATGAGAGTCAGAACCACAGAAACATCCAGAGGCCCCGAGGCTCAGGAAGGCCCTGCAGTTTCCACCAGGAGAGGGACCTGGTCCATTTAAAGTGTAAACCATCTATCTGGCAACATGAGGATGGTTGACATGAAGATTTCTACTGTGGAATTGAGGAGACACTGTTCTGTCTCATTGTCCCCAGCAGAATGGGCAGGATGAAAACACCCAGGGAGTGACATATGCTCAGGTGAACCACTCAAGACCAAGAACTGGACAGGTAATGGCCACCCCTCCTTCATCCCTATCAGGGTGATTATTGGATAATAACGGCAGACAAACAGAAGCAGACAGGCAAATGGACAGACAGGCTAATCCCATCCTCTCCATAGCCCAAGACTACCCCAACTCTAACCACATTCCATCCTACTCACTCTCCCCCTGTTCCAGGCTGTCACCTACGCCCAGCTGAACCACTTGACCCTCAGACAGAAGACAAGTGCACCCCGATCCTCCCCATCAGAGGAGCCCAGTGTGTATGCTACTCTGTCGGTCCACTAGTCCTGGAGGGACCCAGACCGCGCACTCCAGGGAGGGGTTTGGCATTTCCCAGAAGAGGTGGAAGCCTGATGTGGATCTCCATAGCTCCTGGAAACCTCTGGGAGTCACCTGATTTTGTGGTTTAGATAAGCAATATCGCCTGACCAGTGTTGCTCAGTGGTTGAGAGTCAACCTATGAAGAATGAGGCGACAGTTCCTTTCTTGGTCAAGGAACATGCCTAAGTAGCTGTCTTGTACCCCAATAGGAGGCTTATGGGAGGCAGCCAATCAATGGTTCTTATCATTAATGCTTCTATGTCTCTGTCCCTCTCCTCTCCTCTCTGAAATCAATAAAAATCTATATTAATAATAGAGGAATATGCAAATTGTTCAGGACTCCTTCACAGTAATGACCAAACAGCAGGCTGTGTGATGCAACAAAGCTAGCAGAGTTGTTTGTGAGGGATGACCAAATGACTGAATAGCAGGCTTTATGGGGAGACCAGGCTGGCAGGAGGGACTGTTGGGGGTGACCAGGGCAATGGGGGGAGCAATTTTGTGTGACCAGGTTGGCAAGGGGGCATTTGGGGATGACCAGGTCACCAGGGGGAGCAGTGAGGGGTGACAAGGCTGACAGAGGGAGGAAGAAAGGGGCCACCAGGCCAGCAGCAGGGGGTGGAGGGTGGGGGTTGGGAGGTGGACAGTTAGTGGGGACCAGGCTGGCAGGGAGGTCAGTTGGAAGCAACCAGGCCGGGAGGGGGGGGGGAGTTGGATGCGAGGCAGTTAGGGGTGATCAGGCAGGCATGCAGGTGAACAGTTAGAAGTCAGCAGTCCTAGATCATGAGAGGGATGTCCGTTTGGGCCTGATCCCTGGGCCTTAACTGGTGGCAGTAGATATCCCCGAGGGGTCCCAGATTAGAGAGGGTGCAGGCTGGGCTGAGGGGACCCAACCCCTGCATGAATTTTGTGCACCGGGCCTCTATTACATTAATAACAAGATAACAAATATCCTTACTTTTTAAAAATAAAGCAACAGACTTCTCAATAATAAATGTGTGAACATTTTTAATTAAGTGATAATGTAAATAGTACACATCAAATCTTTTAAATGAGAAAATTAAAAACCATGAATGGTAGAAAAGAAAATGCCTTAAAAATCATTGGCTTGTGCTATTATATCAAGAATTTGGGGGGGGGGGGAAGATTGGATTGAATCTCCAGCTCTGCAGGTGACGGGATGAGATAGATGCAGCATGTATACACAATGGCATGTATGTCAGCCATAGGGTGGGGGAAATGAGGGCTGGATAGGTAGACCTGTCAGA